TTTGCACTCATGACTGTCAACAAAAAGGCCTTCAACTACAAATCACTCATAACAGTGAGTCACTGATGCAGCCTGAGAACACAGACATTAGCACAAATGATACATTCTGTAGCTACGCGAAGGTCAATGTAAAGTATATATCGTCATCTTCTTGTGTACGCACAGACACCAGGGCAGACAATGTAGCACAAACTGATATAGATGAAGCAAGCAGTGTTGTGTGATTAGCTGTTTGTCGAAAAACAAATGTTAAAGGGGCCCTATGATTCTCATTTTCAGGTTCATATTTGTATTGTATCTCTACTGGGACATGTCTCCATGCTTTAATGTTCAAAAAGTTCTTTATTTTTCTCATACTGCCTGTGCTGCAGCACCTCTTTTCACCCTCTGTCTGAAACCAGAGCCCAGTCTGCTCGGTTGTGATTGGTCAACCGCTACGAGATGTCCCGGCCCCTAGCCTATCACGTACAATGTGTTGGAGCGCTAGCCAATAGAGGCGCGAGTGTTACATAGTGATGCCACTATGTTACATAAGTAAACAAGGTGTTTCAGGCAGGGGGGAGTGTGTGGGAGAGAAACTCTCTCTGGAGGGAACACAGGGATTTTGAGCTTTGCAGACCATTTACATGCACAACAACCTATATAACACACTATAGGAATGGGAAAACCCCTAAAAGCACAATAGGAGTCCTTTATTAGGCGAATGCAAAATAAAACTTTTTCTGACTTTTTAATACATTGAATCAATTGTTGATAAAAAAGGTCTCAACCCACACGCCGATTCAATGTTATTATTTCCTTTCCTATCACGGCTCTTAGTAAGTTGTTTTATTTAACACCAGAAAAAAAAACATATAAGGACACAGGTGTAAAAACTGCTGACTGTGGGTAAAGTCAGAATGGAGGTTGCTCTCACATAATTACAGCAAACTCAACCCAAAGGAAAGAGCAGCTGGCACAGCCACTAACTATCCACATGTAGAGAGAAAGGTTGGGGAAGAATGCATGCAACTTCACTGTAGTGCAAATATATTGTTTCCTCCAGAAAATCTTTCTCTAAGCCAGAACTGGGAGAAAGAGAAAATGTTTGCAGGATGGAGTTACACTAGTGAGAAAATCAATGTCTTCATCCCCCTTTGATAAATTACATGATTTGTATGCATTATTTTGCAGTGCTAGGCGATGCTACTGTGCAACAACCCCTCCTCCCCTATCCAGGGTCAACAGTGAAGTATAGAAACCAGCTAACATCACAATCCAAAAAGAGGTTACTCCAGGTCGAACAGAGACCTGGATTTGTGTGCCTGTTATTATCAGCTTTGCTGAAAAAAAGGAAGTCACAGTAACATCTCACAACTCTGCTTGCATGCAAAGCTGAAATAAACAGGAATTGTTTAAAATATCCTAAATAATGTCGTTCAGAGAAGTTGCTGCAGTCTGAATGCATGCATGCTTACGCAGTGGAAAAGAGAAGTACAGTTAGTGGATCATGTAAACAATGCTCTGAACAATTTGACTGTTATTGAAGCAAAAAAAAGCCACTTCAGGCCTGGAACCGGTCCAACAACTGGCCGGTTGAAACAGCAAATTTAGTATCTGTGCAGCTGAAAACGCTGCCTCCATTAGCATGACAAACGGGACATTTGTGCACTGGCTGGAGGGCCAGCGAGGCTGCAGGGGGACACGAGCTGGGGGGGGGCTGTCACCCTGCCACCGGCCAGAACAGCACACTGCACACTCAGCACAATGGTAGGGGACAAAACGCTGCGGCCCCCACAGAGATTCAAGACTTTACACACACTAAGCCAAATGATATGAGAATTGAAGGAAACCAGCAGTAGGGCGATGGGATTTTTGCTCCGTCTGGCGTCAACAAAATGCAAGGACATGGTGCTTATTTTAACTTTGCAGATTTGTACTCATTTCCTTTCCTAAATTATACAACACTAATGTACAGTCTGTGAAGGGATGCGAGTAACAGTTCTATTTTCAGTACAAACCAACCTGTGTTCACTTTACTGAGATGTATAATCTGTGTAAGGTTTATTACACATTTTTCTTTTTTAATAAAATACATTCTTATAACTTGAACTCATATCTGCATTAACTGTTTCTTGCTAACAATCTGTAAGTACAATATTTAAACATGCTAATTAATTGATTTGAAGTTTAAATGTGAATAAAGCGGCCATGTTGTTGTTCTCTTTGCTAATGCATGGAGGAATCAAGCAAGCCATCCTGGTCAGATAAGCACACCAACAAGGCATCTAGCATCAAGTTAAATGTGGCCGCATTTTGGATATAACTCTATAGGAATCATGCATATGGGCAGGGCTGTTTGCTACCTTTGCCATTTTCTTAATGTCTTTCGTTTTTTGTAAAGCACTTTGAATTGCCTTGTGTTGAAAGGTGCTATATAAATAAACTTGCCTTGCCTTGCCTTACTGTCACGTTAGCATGTCACTCCCTGGGGCAAAGGTACAATGAAAGAACTAAAACCAAGGTCAATTCTACAGTGTTGGTTATCACGAGGATACATGGGTTGAGTTTGAGTTTTAAAGAATTACAAACATGTTTGTTCCGATAGTTACGTTTTTTCAACAAAAAAAACGGGTTACTGTGACTTTCTTTGAGCACTTCAGATATACGATACTTGTAATTTATTAAATCTGTTAGAGCTACAACTAATAATTATTTAACTAGGATTAATACGCTGATTTAAACATTCACAACGAGGAAAAATGTCCATCTTCAAAAAAAAATTCTCAGAGCAACAGTCCAATTTCCAATGTGTCTTCATTCACAACCATCTAAAACTGAATAAGCAGCGAATCCTCACAATGTAGAAGCTGGAACGCCAAATGTTTGGCATATTTGTTTAATAGAAATACTTTTAAGCCCAAAGCATTGCCATCAGATTGCCTGTTTTGTTAAACCAAAATAGATAAATGATTTCATTTATCATCACAGAAGCAGCAGAACTGAAGAAAACTCTCACAAATGACAAGCTGAAACTTAGGAATAAACAATTATCCATTATCAAAACAGTTGAGGAAATTGCTTTTCTATAATTGACTTATCATTGCAGCTCTAGGTATTTCCTTCATTAGTACTAAAGATCCATGATTTCAAACGGCCGCAACAGAATCATTAATGTGCGTGCAGTTGACAAAAGTAATTTCATTTCCAGTGCCATTTTGTTTTTCGTACAACAAAAACTCAAGATCAAACTTAATGTAGTAAAAAATCGGCCATACATTTAACCAATACTCCTTTCAGACCTTTATCTCTGTGCGTGGCGTTTTCTGCACCGTACAACATCACTGAACAGAAGCCTACTTCTGCTCTCAGGAAAGTCCCAAACCAACTCATTCATGTACAAAAAATAAAACCCATGTCTGTGCATTATTCATCATCATGTGTGTGTTCCTGTGTGTAGGTGGGTGAACAATTGACTGTACCAGATAAACACTGCAAGCCTCTGACCGTCGGGGGCCCTCTCTGCTACCTGTTCACATCCTGTACAGCCCTCTGACTGTGTGTGTGTGTGTGTGTGTGTGTGTGTGTGTGTGTGTGTGTGTGTGTGTGTGTGTGTGTGTGTGTTCTACATGTTGTGCAATGAACCAGCCTCAATTTGGACTTCTTGGAAAACACGGTACAGGCAGGAGAAAAACGCCTGAGCTGTTTCACTGCAGCTGTTTTTCTCTCTGCAGTCACTGATGTTCTGTGAGAGCTCTCGGCTGCAGGTACTCCACTGCTGCCTGTTGATAAAGTCGGGGTCAAAGTGTGGCATGCATGCTTCCATATGCATGCTAAAGGAAACATCCCACACACAGGGGTTGGACTCATATCCAGTTGCCAGGACAGAATGTTTGGAGACTTGTTTTATAATACCCTGAAGAAGCCCCCTGCTCTTGAACTCAACACCACCTCAATGCTCACAACAGACAGGCTTGGGGATTACATGTAACAGGATTACATAATCAGGATACAACACAGTATACTGTATTCCCTTACAGTTACATTAAAAAAGAAGTAATCAGATTACTGGTAATTTTTAAAGGGTATTACAGGATTACAAAAAAATGATATTATAGGTGGATGTTCTGCTTGTTTTCTTTTTGGTTTACATTTAGGCTACTTTCAAGTCTTTTTTCAAATGCAGTTGGTGAACACCTGATTAGTTAGCAAAAATACCATGTTTAATCAATATATTAAACTAAATCAGCATTGTTTACTATACTATAGGAGGACTATCCTATAAGAGGACACATCTTAATATATTATTTTCCAAAAGTCATATTGTTCTGTTGTCTTACATAATACACTTGAGCAAAAATCACGTTATTGTAATTTTGTTTCTCTTGTATTTATTTGCATTGCATTTGATATTGAAGTAATCCAAAAGTAAGGGAAAGTAATGATTACTTTTCAATTAAATACATTTGTTATTGTTCATATAACTAGTAATTGTTACAGATTACATTGTTAAAGTTACCCTCCCAACCCTGACAACAGATTATATTCTTAGATTGTAATTGTCTGTCCCATAAACAGGAACAAATCAACACCTAATAAACAAACTTGACCACTGACAGCTTGTCACGTCACTGCACAGAACCACGCATATTTGCAGCCCTGCACGCGACTCTGCTTCCAGTATTTACCTTGAGCAATGGTCACAAGCCATGCATCAAGTCGTGCAGAGTTTCATTATAAAGAGTTGCACTGTCCTTGTCTATCTCGTGACTGTTAAAAGGCGCCCTGTGCACAACATCCCTGCGAACAGCGTCAATATGAGTGAGCACACACACAGCATCGTCTTACCAGGAACTGTGCAAAGGGGAATATCTTTAAACAGGAAATGCAACTGACCCTTTTCTAAAGCCATGTAACTTTAAAATGCACCGGCCGAGCTGCAGCGGCTGCATGTTGCAAACCGTGCAGCCGTGATTGCATGATGTCGCACAGTATTGCACAGATCGGTTTCATATGCTTACCTCCCTTTGGCTGAGACATTTCCCCTTTGCTTTGATGAGGGGGAGGGGAAGCACAAAAGACTTTGCCTTCTTTCTCACTCCCTCCCTCCATCGCCCTCGCAATGGAGCTTCAGCGGCTTGCTTTTTTGCAACAAAGATGCAAAATACAAGCCTCGATCTTCATGCACTTGGAGCCTTTTTGCGTCCGGAGCGTGCGTGTCCGTGCACAGAGCGCCGGTGTGATTGCACGGCCCCCGCAGGCGTCAGGTAACAGGTAATTTCTGCAATTGCACTGCAAAGAATTCTCCGCAGCACTTACATGATGGGCCAAGGCTGGCAGCTGAAAGCTCCTAACTTGGATCAGTGCGAGCCCCTGCGAGAGAACGTTCTTCCTGCTTGGAGCGCAAAGGATAATGGGAAATGGAGTCCAGAGCGTTTAGAGAGCGGTTTTATTTACATTTCTGTGCTGGATTTGTGTGAACTAGAGTGTAACGAGTGTAAGGAGAAGTAGTGTGTTGTGCAGTGGTTGATAGTACAATTAACTAAAGTAATACACTTTAATTAAAAATGTTAGTGTATTTAGTGAATTGTTTTAACTAGTTCAATAGTTAAATGATGTGCATAAAAGGTGACATTTATAATGTATGTCACCAGTGGTGTATAGTAACTAAGTAGACCTAAGTACAATTTTGCGATACTCTACTTGAGTATTTAAATATTTTTGCTATTTTGAACTTCTACTCCACTACAACTCAGAGGTAAGTGGTGTACTTTTACTCCATTGAATGTATAATACCTCTAGTTACTTCACAGATGTGGATGAATGATGTGAAATCTAATCAAGTGTTGAATCACACTTTAGTTCCACCTGGAGTAAATTCACAAGCTACCCTGCAGTATACAAAGTCTTTCAAACTAGCTGCACCTTTACCAGCTTTGAGAACACTTTCATGATCAATCATTATAAAACATATCATATATATTATTCTGAAATGCACCATTCTGCACAACGACTACTTTTACTGTTGGTACTTTAAGTATCTATTGAAAATAATATGTTTGTACTTTCACTTGCGTGACCTTTTGATTGCAGGACTTTTACTTGTAACAGAGTATTCATACACTCTGGTATTTTTACTTTTACTCAAGTACAAGATCTGTGTACTTCTCCCACCTCTGCATGTCACCATGAAACCTTCCAAAATGATACATAAAGAACAATTTGATTAAATATGAGCAAAGTGTCATGCATTTCCCAAACAAACATTTGAACATCTAGATCTTATTGTATTTTGTTGAAATGTTAGGATTTGGAGACAGAAGATTTGGGATTTTATGAGTTTAAAAATATTCATACAATAAAGAATGAAATGTGAAATCAGGCTATTAATGATAAATAAACAAACCCATGTGTAAAAACATCCAGAATATGTTTTAGATGCTCAGAGTTAGACTATCTGGATTTATTTATTGCGTAATAATTATTGTGTTCCCACAAATGTGTGGGAACATAATAACTAATTCGTGGCCACGCATTATTAACTCGTGGCCACGCATTATTAATACGTGGCCACGTATTAATATTTTTCTCACCAATGTCACCAGGGGGGCTCCGTAACTATGTGTATGTGGGAGGTTTTTTTCCACCAGTCTATCTGTTTGTGTACTTTTTTTGTTGGTTTAATCTTACAATGCATAACATATTGTAAATACTATTGCATTTCTGCAGTTTTTCCTAACCTGATCGAGAGTACAGGATGACATATTATAAAACCCTACTAAGAGCCTAATTTCGGGTTGTAATTCAAATGGACTTGTCTTAAATGAAATGAATAATGTTTGTGTCTGGTGTTGAGGTGATGATTACATGAAATCACAGGGGAAATATTCAGTTTACTTTTAAAGTTCAGTAAAAATCTTTATTATCAGGTAACATTGATTAATGCAAAAGTGAAACTAAGTAATGACTTTAATGAATGAATTAATGACAAGTTACTCTGACAGCTACAGTACTCTGGTGTGAAGGCTTATACGAGTAGTTTTATAAATACATTAAAAGTAAAGAGTAAAAACGGGCCTGTTGGAGCACCTGAAGTTCAACAGGATTACATTTGGTGCCCAGAAAGCACGGATTTAGTGATTATTTTTCAATCAGCAAATTGGTGCTTTCAGGGTGATGAATGACAACTGTGACCCCTTAATTGCAAATTAGGGATATTAGCACCAATATTAAAAACACAAATACAAATAAAATGTAACAGGAACAGAAACGCAAACATAAAAGATGCAGCTGGTGATATTACATATTTTTCTTTTTGACAGCAAATTCCATGAAAAGACCAAAACCGACAGTGTTTTTTAGGTTTACAGCACCAAGAACATCAGTTCTAAGAGAAAGCTTTACAGACAGCTTACAAATAAAGACTCTAATACAAAAAATAGAAAGACATTGTAATGCCCTTAAACATTTGGGCATTGTAGATTACTTGCAAAAAACCTCAACGGGGATGCAATAGTGCATTTGTTGGGGTCTACTTTCAGTGGCGGATTGATCTATATTTGATGCTCTAGTGAGTAATTGGGGCAACAGGACGTGGATGTGTGATTGAGTCAAAAATACTAAAGGGAGTGTGGCTCTTTGATGTGTTTTTAATAGTTTTTGGACAACAATGGAGCTCTAGGGCACATCAGATTTTGATCAATGGGATTTAAAAAATATAAAATAACACCAGACTTATCCTTTGAAACATGTTCCAATATTGAAAAATGCTCTAAGCAGTAATACATAAAGCTTTGGTGTGGTAATTGCCCAATGAAACAGCAATAACATGAGACAAGACAAATGATCCAAACATCACACTCAAAGAGGTTTCAGATCCCCACGATGTGATATGAGATGTTGCTTCACATGGTTGGATTGTGTTTGGTAGAGGGTCAGTTCTTGCTGGTTATGAGGCTTTGGTACAGAGGTTTCACCACAATATGGAGGAAGAGGGAGCTGTCGATGAGGTATTCAGATGTCCGGCGGTACAGGTCGGCTTCAGCCAAGAAATCCCCATTTTCTTCCGTGCTCTGGTGGAAATTGTAGACATGTTTCACCACCACCTTCCCCTGCTGCTGAGCCATCACAATCACCGTCTTCTGGAAGTTAACTCCGGCGAATTCTGCGCTGGACGTGGCCGGCGTGATAATGATGCGAGGGCGACCTCCGTCCACACGTGTTGGCTGCATGGCGCCCGAATCTGTGTACATCGGCCTCATGCTGAGGGGTAACCAGCGCGGCGAGAACAGGGCGTTCCAGGTCACCCGCTTGCTGGAGTCGTGCCCGCTGGGCCCCAGCTGCGTCTGGAAGCTGGTGCTCCGATCGTCTCGTGAGGGGTTGTTGATGATCCAGGGAGACCCCCACACTGGGGACAGGTAGTTCCTAGGCATGAAGAGGCTACAGTTCACATCAAAGTACTTGGCCATTTGCATTGGTGACGCAGAGTGAAACTGGTAGGACATGTAGAGCAGGTCGCGCACCGACTCTTGATAGCGAGCCAAGATGGCCGACTGGGTCTGCAGGCGGAAGAGCTCTCGTGGCGGCATCATGGCATAACGCACCGCTCTCAAAGCATTCTCCGCTGTCAGACCGTCCGGCTCATTCTGAATAATCCAGGCCTCCAGCCCGGCAAAGAGCTCCATCTCGCTCTGCAGGATCAGGTCTGACCTCTGAAGCAGGGACATGAGCAGCTGGCTGCTGATGGTCACCCACTCCCCGCTCTGCAACACCGACGATAGGTTCCACGCCATAAACTGAATGCAGCTGTCCCTCAGAGTCACGTCCCCGGCCTGCACGGCGTACTCATACCAGCCCGCCACGTGGCCTGAGGTGGACTCCCGGGCCAGATTCTGGGTCATGTACTGGGTGATGCCCTGCTGGAGGCCTGTCACTTGGTACTTAGTGGCCAGCTTGTGTAAAGGTGTGGCCTGGTCCAGACGCAGTGAAATCTCTCCGCAATACAGATACCTGCTCAGAAAGAGGAAGAAGGGGTTTCAAGGTGAAGCATTTGAATCAACAACATACATACATTCAGAATGAGACCATCCTAAAACAGCTAGTTGGAAAATGTTTTACCAACATCAAGACCCACTATTCTTGGACTGCAACAGCATTTTTGCCATTTGGGGGCAAAAGAACGCCACAACAAGCTAAAGAACACAACCTAGCACATTATCACATGCTAATATGCTAGCAAACAGTTGCATATCTACATATCCAGCAGGTAAAGCAACGTAATCATCCAAATGCAGTTGTTTAAGTCTACCTGATGAATGTAAAGCGCCATCTACACATGGAGTACAACCCTAAAATTATATAGACATGGTGATAAGAGTTCAACATTTAATCTCTTTTAGCTCTGTTTTGGTCTCAACCAACTCCTGAGAATTAGATGTGGTTATGGCTGCTACATGCTAACTTTGTCTAGCATTTGGTACTCGGTAGGTAGTGTCCAGTGGGTTTATTATAGCTTTTTTGCTGAAAACAAACTGCTTGCTGGTTCTGCAGACAGAACAAAACCGTTTTTGTGCTATTAAACCCAAAACAAAGAGCTAAATACTGCTGAAAATACTGTTGTTTTTATGAAAATAGATAGAGTGCAATTGTACAGACTTGTGTTTCTGTCAGACTTAATTCAATCAAAGTAATCTCACAGCATCCTCCTCTTCAAAAAGTTACCGTTGACCCTTTATGGTATTCGGGGAAAGGTGTCGTTTTATTTTTGTTACAATGAATGAATGCAGTCTCAGTCTGGCAGATATCATGTCTACTATAATACAGCTTTTAGTCAAACTCATTAGCATTTGAGATAAAAATAGATAGTTTTATTGATTGCTCCTGCAGCACAGGCTCCTCAATGTCTTATTGCTACACCACAGGAGCTGCTATTGAGCAACCCAGCAGTTCCCTGATTGGTCAATCTGTTTTATGTTGGACTCATTGATTGTTTGTCTCGGTTAATGTAGGGCTGCAGTTGCAGAGTTCATTCCTCTAGGCATAATGACTCAATCAAACTGGGTGAAGCAGGGGGTGGAAGTGACTCTCACACAGTCTGACATATTGAGATGAAATGTGTCCCCACCTGATGAACTTATCAAACACAGCTGCACAGTCGGAGCTCTCCTTCAGGACCAGCTTGCTGCTGTTGCGGCTCAGCAGGATCTCCTCGAACACGGGGCTCTGCAGGGACAGCACCAGAGAGTGAGCCTGGATCACCTTCACCTCGTCCGCGCTGGGGGTCTCCACCCGGAGAGACAGGTCACTGCCGTTCCCCTGAAGCAGCAGCGCCTCCAGACGCTGCACCAGGGTCAGGGAGTGGCTGATGGTGTCCCCGCCCCCCCCATTGCCATCCGAG